GGCGCCGAGCCTCCATTTACTTTATGATAAAGTCCTGACACCTTAGTGTGAATCCTTAGGAATGTCATCATTTGACACTAGATTAGCTTTTCAGCCTCAGTTCCTCCCCTATTGCTGTAGTTCCCTTTTGGATTAGCCACACTAATAATATTTTTACATGATACTTGTTATATAGTAGGCACTTTGCTAAACAAAGTCACCCCCTGCCCTGAAGACTTTCTCACACTGAATTAAGTTCTTCCTCCTCTGATTACCATAATGGTTAGTGTGCCTCCATTATGACACTTGTCACCGTGTATTATGTCTTGGTCTCAAGTCTTTCCTATATAGTTTCTGCCCTGACCTCTGTGCACAACAGGCACACAGTAACTGTTTGTTGAATACTCGATGGTCCTTATCAAGTTCTACCTGTTTCTTTTCTAAATTAGACATCCTAAATTTTGAAATATTTTTTCATGTTACATTCTTTATTTTTTTCATTGTTTTTCAAACTTTTCTAGTGCTTTTTTCTCCATTTGAAATATGATGATTAAAATTGAAATGAGGGGCTCGGCGCCTGTGGCTCAAGCGGCTAAGGCGCCAGCCACATACACCTAAGGTGATGGGTTCGAATCCCCATCCCGGGCCCGCCAAACAACAATGATGGCTGCAACCAAAAAATGGCCAGGCGCTGTGACGGGTGCCTGTAGTCCCAACTACTTGAGCCCAAGGAGCCCAGGAGTTGGAGGTTGCTGTGAGCTGTGATGCCATGGCACTCTACCCAGGGGGATAGCTTGAGGCTCCATCTAATAAAAAAAAAAAAAAATTGAAATGAGGGCTGGGTATAGTGGCTCACACCTGTAATCCTAGCACTCTGGGAGGCTGAGGTGAGTGGATTGCTTGAGGTCAGGAGTTTAAGACCAGATAGAACAAGAGAGAGACCCTGTCTCTACTAAAAAATAGAAAAAATTAGCTAGGCATGGTGACCTGTATCTGTAGACCCACCTACTCAGGAGGCCAAGGCAGAGGGATTTCTTGAGCTTAGGAATTTGAGGTTGCTACAGGCTATAATAATGCCATTGTACTCTACTCAGGATAACAGAACAAAACCCTGTCTAAAAAAAAAAAAAGAAAACAAAAAACAAATGGGGCAGCACCTGTGGCTCAGTAAGTAGGGCGCTGGCCCCATATACCAAGGGTGGCGGGTTCAATCCTGGCCCCAGCCAAACTACAACAAAAAATAGCCAGGCGTTGTGGCAGGCACCTGTAGTCCTAGCTACTCGAGAGGCTGAGGCAAGAGGATTGCCTAAGCC